AATGGTATATTTATAAAGAGGAAGTTAGAGATGTTTTAACTGCATTTCTTCTCTTAGCAATTTGCCATCATCGGGCAACAGTTACTTTGCTTTCCCACAAAATGTCTGTTTATATTGCTGATGGAGGCCAATCCCAGGCTGAATGGGCCTCTGTGAGTGACACCTTAGTGAATTCTCTTCACAGGTCATGAGGCCATTTTTGGGGAAATTTCTCTCTCTCTCTTTCTAAAGTGGAAATAAAGGTCAGTTACTTACTCCTACAGACTAGACATAATTTACTAGTTCTCAAAAGTATGTAGATTATTAATATCTTTTATAGCAAAGATACTTTTGTTACTTTTGAAGTATTTACTTCCAGATCAAGTTCTTAGTAGGAAACTTTTCTAAACTCTCGAACAACTACAACCTCTGGACTAATGATTCCTGGGTGGGTGCAGGAGTTGAGGAATGGCTGCACAGTTGTGAAAGCAGAAGGAATAAGCATATTTTAGTCCCTATGTATGATGACAGGGGATTTCCAAAGTACCATGTAAGTGGTGATTGTAAAACTCATTGATGGAGTTGTCATACTTAAACTTCAGAACCCCTGGCTATAAAGAACATAGTTCAAATAGGTCTGTAATATAGATAAACTAGGGTAGAGTTTCAGAAATTGACTGATTGGAATGCTGAGTATATATTAGAAGAATAGAATTATAAGGGTGCATATAGTAATCTTGGTCAACTGATAAAACTGCAAAAAATAAGAGAAATACTAGCAGTAAAGTTCTTCTAAAATGGTAATAATTTTCCTTTTTTTCTCAGGTATTTTCCAAAACTTTCATATGGATGTTTATTTTTTACCATGTCTTATATTACACATACAGTTTTATTTTTGCATACTTGATTTTTCTGCACTTTATATCTTATTAATTAAAATAATTTTGTAATAGTTTATGCAGGGATAGCCCATAATTTACTTAACCATTCATATTCTGAAATTTTGCTATTAAAAAAAAGTAATGGCCATGTCCAGGAATGCAACTTTGGTATTTTTTCTTAAACTTGCTTGGACCCATTTCCCTGACAGGCAGGATAAGTATAGTTCTAAACAGATATGTTCCCAAATTAGAAGTTCCAGCTTCAGACTTAGTGCTATCATTGATTAGCAGTTTTGAGCAGTTTTGCTCAAAACTTTAGCGTGTTAATAGTTGCTAAGTTTTAAAAAAAGTCATATGAGCACATGAAAAACATATACATTTTTATTAGGAAATTTTCGATTTCTAAAAGAATTATATGAATTCGTATTGTCATTAAGAATTCATGTGAAAACATGATATTTTAAAACATTTATATTGTTACTGTTTGTCTCAGTGTAAAATTGTATCCCTTTCTCTTGATTCGCATTCTTCCCTGTCCCCTCCCTTCTCCCCAATCTTGTGCAAAGCCAGAGTTTTTTTCAACTGTATCATTACATTTTCTAAATCAAGTGCTGAAGCTTTGTTGCCTTGGTGTTTTCCAGCTAGATTATAAAACAGACAAGTAGGAGAGATCAAGAACAACCTTAATGAGGAGGGAATGGAATTTTTCATTGTGTGTGTGTGTATGTGTTTTTGTGTATTTTTAGGATTGTGATTTTCTTGTATTTTCAGTCCCTAGTAATACTTATTGGCTATTACTTTAAGTGTTAGAAAAGTTACTTTAATAATTGACATCGTATTTGAGTCCTATGTAAGTGAAGATTCTGTCCTCTATTCTTCCATTTGATGGACTAATTTATCATTAGTATTACCTTGATCACAATTTGATGGATTTTTTAAAAAAATGGAATGCCTTTTAAAACTTGGAGAAAAAAATCCAAGAGGGAAAATTTATGATCTCCAATCAGGTTATCTTTTGGCTTTCAATAGATAATGAAGTTATGCCCTCTGACTTGAGTTCTCATATAGTCAAGGTAATTTAGGCAACACAAAAGCATACCCTTGTAAGTTCTAGAGTTCCAGCAGCCCTGATATTTCTGGCAAACACACACCCAGTGTGGATAACAGCAGCTCTTTGTGCTGTTGAGCCCCAGGAGGGCTCCCTATTGTGTACTCTTCCTTCCCTCCCATTCTTGACTGACTGGTGATAGCAACTCCTCCAAGTCCAGATGTGAAGTCCCACAGTGACACAGTGACTCCTGTCTTCTACCTAACTGTGTTTGCTAACACCCGCCCCATTGGTGATTTGCTTTTGTCTCTCTGTAGCATGGAGAATTTACAATCTTCTCAGGGTTATGGTTTCAGATTTTATTCTTCCCTGTGCTTTACACGCATATAGTCCTTACAGCAGGGGTTGTAGCAGTGATTAGTCTAAGACACAATTAGCACTTAACGCATGTTTGTTGCTGTGAACCCTATCATGTATTGTCTTCTGTGTTGGTATGTCTCTATTTTTGAAGTGCCAGTCTGTAGGAGCAAGCTTCAGTTATGTCCTGCATTGCTGTGTTTGCCTGTATTACCAAGGTTAAAAGCTAGAAAGCCTCTTTGTTCTGGCTTTCTTTCTTTCTCTTTCTTTCTTTCTTTCTTTCTTTCTTTCTTTCTTTCTTTCTTTCTTTCTTTCTTTCTTTCTTTCTTTCTTTCTTTCTACTTTTTGTGTGCTTAGATGAGTTTATTCACTTTTCTTCAGTAAAATGAAATTCACAATTATTGTTCTGATTACCGACCTTTTTGTAAGATTCTTGTGAAGATAAAATGGTAAAAGTATGAAGACACATGTATATGTTTTAGAAAAAAATATTCTACAAGTGTGTATTATGTTGTCACAGTTGCATATGTTACTACCCTTCTAGGAGTGTCCTTAACACTGAGAACATCTCAGTGTGGAGTTGTACTTGGAGCTTTGAGATAAATGTAGATTTCTAAGGGCCCACAATAACCTATTGAATTAGAAACTCGGGGGATGAGGCCTTTTAATCTGCATTTTTGCAACCCTCTGGTGCTGAGCCACTGTCTTGAGAAGTAAGAAACCTCATAACCACTAAAAGAAGTATTCTGCCTTAAATAATAGTAGATGTTAGTTGTAAAATAACCCAGAAATATTATAAAATAACTTTTCGTATTAAACATGAAGTGAAGGTTAGTATTTCTATGTGCTGCTATTTGTTTCTTCGTTTCTCAAAATTTTTCTCAGGCAGGAATTGTAAAGTCAGAGGTCTGGGATAGGGCACGTGGTAGTGAGGGTGGCAAAGCTGGATACCTGCAGAATAACAGGGGATGATGATCTCTGGTGGGCAGGTATGAAGGTGGCAGGACTTGGAAGGGCCCACCGAGTGCTGCTTTTTGGGGATATGAGCTGCTGCCAGACAATTTGGATTTTTGAGGTGAAGCTGAATATCAATAGAAACTATTGATCCAGCAAAACTCTGAGTTAAGCAATACAGGTAGAAATGTTTGCTTTTGAGTGGCTGTGATGCCAGAAGAAATAATCCCATTCAGTGTGACTATCAGAGAAGTGTATATTAAAACCACATATATATTTTTGACTTTCACCTTATAAATATGAATAAATTGATAAAACTTAGAGTTGGTACTTTGATAAACAAAGGGTTAGTAGTCTCAAATCCTAAGTGAAGATACATAATTACACTTTTTCTGAAGAACAGTTTGCAACACATTTCATGATCTGCCTGTTTCAGTATGATAGCTGCAGCTACATGGGGCTATTTAAATACAAATAAACTAACATTTTATGTGTCATAACAGATTCAGTTTTTCAGTTGTTCTGGTCACACTTCAAGTGCTCAGTAGCTGTGTGTAGCTGATGGCTACCATGTTGAACCATATAGATACTAGATATTTCCATTTCCTGGAGAAGTGTCTACTGGAAAGGCTGATCTAAACTCTGACTCAGAAATTACTGCTCTAGAAAATTTTTGGAAAGAAATACACAGATGCAAAAAGGCATAAAACAAAAACATCAATGGAAGTATTCTTTATGAGCATGTAAAAGTGGAAACACCCTATACACTATGTAGTTATTAAAAATCAGATTGTGGTATATGTCCAGGAAAGTAATGTTAGCTATGTTAAGTGAAAATATCGCTGTTGTAGAATCATTTGATTGATTTGAGTGCATAGCTTAAATAAAAGAAGTTATGGGAGAAAATATTTTCTTCTGAGAAAAATGGTTTTGAGTATGACAGAACTTTCCCTTTGAAGCGTATGTACTGCTCTTCTTGAGTAATAGAATAAATTGTCTTTCATTTAAAAATCAACATAGGTAACTGGGAACCATCTATTAGTATCATCTGAATTGTTACAAATTCACACTCTCAGTCTCCATCCAGGTCTACTGAGTCAAAATCTTTGTCAGGGCTTGGAATTTGTGCGTTAAGAATTCCCCTCCCAGGATCTGTTGGGTCACCTGGCCCAGGTCCTGGGATCCGCCTGTGTGGTGGGTGCTGGGTTTGTGTGTCCCTGGGGGATGGGGGCAGGATCCAGTAGGACTTGGGTCACCTGGCTGGAGTCCTGGGGCTTACCTGCAAGGTGGCTGCCGGGTTCATGAGCCCCTGGGTGTAGGAGAGCCGGTAGAACTTGGGACACTTGGCCCAGTCCCTTAGCTCAGCTGAGTGGTGAGTGCCAGATTCAAGAGCCCTGAGGGCAAGGGATGTGGTTGGGCTTGAGTCCCCTGATCTGGGTACTGGGACTTACTTGCAAGCAGAAAAGGTGGAGCAGTGGACATAGACCCTGATGCACATGGAGAACATGGCAGCTCATGTTGCAAAGGAAAGAGAACCGAACAAATTGGACAACCACCACAGCAAACAAGGAGAGTAAAAATCTGCATAAACAGAAACTTGAGGTGAACTATGTCAGCCAGTGGACACTGGAAGGGTTGCCTTACCCTTGGATCTGCAAAATCGACAGCATTTCAGAACTATCGATACCACTTGGTCAGAACCCTCAAAACAAGCACCACATCAGGACCCTGGGTTGATATTGGGTGGCAGTTCCCCTTCCCTGGGTACTGGGACGTTTGGGAGGCTGGGTTTAGCTTTTCCCTTTATCTCTCCACTTTCCCCAGAGAGAAGAAGAAATAGAGAATTTGAAAACAGTGATTTCACCCATTTTTCCCTAACTCTCAGTCCTTCCCACTGTGGTCAATTATGTAATCATCATAAAAATAGAAATAGAAATAATAAAAAAAGAAATAGAAATAATAAAAATAGAAATAAAAATAATAAAAAAAGATCTACCCTCTTAAGTCCTCCATCCTACACACATGCTTAACAGCTGTAACTGTCTCATGTTAATCACTCAAGGTTTATTTGTTTTATCACTAATAAATTAAATTCCTTGAGCCCTGTACAGGAACTATTCTAGGTACTGGTGGATGCCACAGTGGGAAAAAAAAGTAACAAATATCCTTGTCATCCTGGTATCAGTTTGCAAGATTCATTGAGTAGAATTTAGGGTCTTTAGGTGGTAAGTTCTCGGGGTGGAAAGCAAAAAGGGGAGTTAAAAGCGAGGTGGTGGGTCTCTTCCGAGTATAATTGAGAAGTGACACCTGCCTGAAAGCCCGAAGAAGAGAGGGAGTAAGCCACTGGAACGTTAGGAGAGGAGAATTGTAGCCTGTTTTTAGAAGGGTGACTAGGAGGCCACTGACTAGAGGGGAGAGGCCAGTGAGTGATTAGGTAATACAGATATTTTAACTTTAAAATTCATTGTTCTCTCCATTGTACCTCAAATGCTTTAATCTGTCTGTAAAGGGAGGCATGCTGCAATTCAGTGTTTTTCAGGGTGACCTGCTATATTTGCCTAGTGTGCTTATTAAACACAGAGTACTATTCACTAGGCAGTATTTGTAGACGTAGAAGTCTCAGAACTATGTCTCAAATGTATCCTTCTTTAAATTTAATTGGGTAAGTATGCCTAAAGTTGCCATTGTAAGTCACAAAGTGATATAAATATGTAATTGATATAATGTGTCATTAATTTCCTGTATTTAAAAACCAATTTGGTACACACTACTATAGCAAGTTTATATATGCATCTGTGTGATGTATTCAGGGCATTAAAGACTATTTCTATAACATTTTCCACATCAGAGTTGAAAATATTTTTACTTAAGAGTTCTGCCACCCCCTGCACAGTCTGTTCTGTGTTAGGAAAGGATGGACCTAAAAGTTAGTTGATTAGGTTTCCTTTCTATGTTTTTCTTTCATTTGTTTCCTTCTGGTTTCCTTTCTTGTTCATCTTCCCTTCTTGAAATCTAGCTGTCTTAATTTAACATTATCATTAACTTAAAAAAAAAAAAAAGATTTGTTTTTATTTGAAAGCCAGATTTACAGAGAGAAGCAGAAACAGAATGATCTTCCATCCGCTGGTTTGCTCTCCAAGTGGCTGCCTAAGCCGGAGCTGAGTTGATCTGACCTAGGATCCAGGAACCCCTTCAGGGTCTTCCATGTGGGTACAGGACCCAAAGCTTTGGGCTGTCCTCGACTGCTTTCCCAGGCCACAAGCAGGGAACTGGAAAGTAAGTGGAGCAGCTGGGACATGAACTGGCGCCCATATGGGATCCTAGCATGTGCAAGGCAGACTTTAGCCACTAGCCTACTGCGTCGGGCCCATTGTTAACATTTTGCTGGCTGTTCTTTTATGCATCTCCATACATACGTACATATATTCAAGATATAAATAATTTCACATAAGTGAGATCATATTAGTGTTTTTAATATAGCCACTTTTTAACAAGATTTATTTTATTTTTTGTTGGAAAGGTGGATATACAGAGGAGGAGAGACAGAGAGGAAGATCTTCTGTCTGTTGATACACTCCATAAGTGGCCACAATGGCCAGAGCTGTGCCGATCTGAAACCAGGAACCTGGGGCCCCTTTTGCGGCTGCCATATGGGTGCAGAGCCCCAAGGCCTAGGACTATCCTTGACTGCTTTCCCAGGCCAGCAAGGAGCTAGATGGGCAGCAGGGCTGCTAGGCTTAGAACCAATGCCCATATGGGATCTCAGCACATGCAGGGCAAGGACTTTAGCCACTAGGCTACCATGTCGGACCCATTTAACCACTTCCTTTTTCTTTTTTTTTTTTAATATATTTTTATTTTGAATTTTAAACTATGTGGTAGATTTTTGTATAGATTGGGATCCCCCCCAAACTCCCGCCTCTGGCAGATTTTCCCCATTTTACAATGGTGTAGTCCTTCATGAGAAATCATAATTCTATCAGTCTCTTATTTAAGTGTACCCCGACATTGTTGGTACAGACAATGTCGGACAGACAGTCCAGCATCCCATTGTCTACACATGTCCAGCAGTTTCTTTGGGAATCTATCTTTCATCTGAAAGCAGGGATGCATGTTCCATTGTACCCCCACATCTGGATATGATAGACCCCAGTACTCTGTCTCTATACATTTCCATAATTGAGAAGCCATGAAACAAGGTCAACAATTGGTATGAGTTAGAACAGCCACAACAACAACAACATCGACAACAACATCAACAACAAATTACAGCACCATGAAAAAACATGCCACTGATTAACCAACATGTGAATGACAAAAAGGAAACACAAAAGTCTCTTGGGAAAAATGATGTCATTGTGTAATCCATGAGCCAGTGTTGAATTCAACAAGAGAAAAGAAATTATTTGGAATAAACAAAACTTAAATAAAAAACATCAAAACATATAGGATACAGCAAAAAAAAAAAAAAAAGCAAGCAAACAAAAACCAGTATGGATTGGATTATTAAAGTTACACTTTGCATGCTGGTTTTCTTATATAAGAGAGAACATATGGTATTTGTTCTTTTGTGATCGACTCATTTCACTGAGCATAATGGTCTCTAGTTGGGACCACCTGGTTGTAAATAGAATGATTTCATTCTCCTTAATAGCTGAATAATATTCCATGGAGTAGATGTATCACAGTTTCTTTAACCACTCTTCTTTGGACACACATCTGGATTGTTTCCATGTTTTTGCTATTGTGGATTGTGTTGCTGCAAATATAGGATTACAGATCCCCTTCTCATATGCAGCTTTCACTTCTATTGGGTATATTCCTAGGAGTAGGATAGCTGGGTCATATGGCAGGTTTATTTGCAATTCTCCAAGCACTCTTCATACTGATTTCCACAGTGGTTGTACTAGCCTACACGCCCACCAGCAGTGAAGGAGGGTACCTTTCTCTCCACATCCACACCAACAGGTGTTGTTATTTGAGTTCTGAATGTAGGCCAGTCTCACTGGAGTTAGGTGGTACCTCAACGTGGTTTTCATTTGTATCTTTCTGAATGGCTAGGGAGCCTGAGCATCTTTTTATATGTCTGGCTAGCCATTTGAGTCTGTTCTTTTGAGAAATGTCTGTTCATTTCTTTTGCCCATTTTGTTACACAAGTTCTTTTGTTTGTTTTTTGCTGTCCCTGGGTTTCTGCCGCTCTTTGTAAATCCTGGATATTAGTATCCTGTCAATTGTATAGTGTGCAAAAATTTTCTCCCATTCTGTTGGCTGCTTCTTCACTTTGTTAATTGTTTCCTTTGCTGTACAGAAGCTTTTTAGTTTGATGTGGTCCCATTTGCTCATTTTGGCTTTGACTATCTGTGCTTTTGGCATCTTTTCTAAGAAGCCTTTCCCTGTTCCTATATCTTGGAGAGTGCTTCCTATGTTTTCCTTTAATAGTTTGATGGTTTCTGAGTGTAGATTTAGGTCCTTGATCCATTTAGAGCTGATTTTCATATAATGTGACAGGTGTGGGTCTTGCTTCTTAATTCTGCAAGCTGCTATTCAGTTGTCCCAATAGCATTTGTTGAATAGACCAGGAATTTTACCTGGATTGTTTTCAGTTTTCTTGTCAAAAAGTAGTTGACTATACATGTGTAGGCTCCCTTCTGGGGTTTCTGTTCTGTTCCATTGATCTTCTCTGTTTCTGTACCAGTATCAGATTGTTTTGATAACCGCTGCTCTGTAGTATGTCTTGAGGTCTGGAATTGTGATTCCTCCAGTTTGATTTCTATTTTTTCAGGATAGCTTTACTATTTGTGCTCTTTTGTGATTCCAGATGAACTTTCGTATCATCTTTTCTGTTTGTGAAAAGAATGTTGTTGGGATTTTGACTGGGATTGCGTTGAATCTGTATATTACTTTTGGTAATATGGTCATTTTGATGATGTTGATCCTACCAATCCAGGAACATGATAAGGTTCTCCATTTTTCAAGGTCTTCTATTTCCTTTTTTAATGTTTTATAGTTTTCATCATAGAGGTCTTTCACATATTTAGCTAGCTTAATTCCTAGGTATTTAAGATTCTTCTCTATTTTAAAGGGGACTGTACTTACAATTTCTTTTTCATACATGGAATGATTTGTGTACAGTAGTGCATTGACTTGTGTTCATTAGTTTTGTATCCTGCTACTCTACCAAAGTTTTTTTATGAGTTCAAATAGTCTCTTAACTGAGATTTTATATCTTGACTCTTGATTTATATATTTGTGTGTGACTATATGTGGTTTGGAGGCAAAGTGACAGAGAAAGAAAGGGGAACACGAGAGAGAGAGAGAGAGAGAGAGAGAGAGAGAAAACTCATGCACATGAAAGACTGAAAGACCTTTCATGAACTGTTTTACTCCCCACAGTTTGGACAGGTCCAGATTGAAGCCAGGAACTTGAAACTCCATTTGGGTCTACCAGATGAGTTACATTTGAATCATCATCCGCTGCTTTCCACGTGTGTTAACAGGAAGATGGATTGGAAGTGGATGAGTCAGGACTCAACCGAGGCGCTCCTGTATGTGATGCAGACATATAAGCTTAATTTGCTGCACCATAATGTTTGCCCCACTATGCAAATCACTCTAAAGCTTCGAACATTGTTCTCTATCAGCTTCCCAATTTGACCAAATGCCTTCAGTGGCTACCAGTATTTCTCAAGTATTTCTTAGTATTTCCCAAAGGATGTCACTCTGAACATAAGTACCCTAGTCTAATGCTGTCAGCAGCATGTGAAACAATAACAGAAAGCTAACGATATCACAACCTGATGGATTTATTATGTCACCAGTGTTTCTGAGGGTAGAGACAAGATGGGGAGGACAATTCCTGGGTTAATTTAGGTGCTTGATAATATCATGGACCCAAGTTCTTTTTGGTCATTCTTTACCATCCTCAGCTTACTGGCATTTATTTTCCAGCTTAGCCCAAGATATTAGCAGCAGCCAAAACACATCCTTGTACAACTTTTGAGCCATCAAAGATGCTGTTTTCTCTGGCTAAAAGCTTTTCAAAGAATTTACTAACATTCATAAATAGCCCAGATCCCCTTGGCCACAATGAACAACTAACACAATTAATACATGAAACTGTTACTGATAAGAAAAATGAAATGCTTTGGCTAGTGTAGAGTATTGAAGCTGGAGTCCAGAGCCCAGGGTGAGCATGTTCAAACTCATGGAGAGTTGATATTGAGGAAGATCAGGAAATGGCTTGATGAGGCATTTAGCAGTATGTGCCGTGAAAATGAATTTCCTCAGTTCCCTTCAAAGCTCATTGTAATCTGACCCCACAATAATCTAATTCAAAGTGTTTGTTTTAGACAAGCCAATCATTTGTGTCTCCTGTCTACATATCCTGTTGATAGCATTCCTGCCATGGCTCGTTTCATATTTCTTTCTTAGAAAGTTTTCCTGGTTCAATACCATGGGTAAGTCCATTAAACATCGTTAGTTTTTCTGTGTGTGTGTGTGTGTGTGTGTGTGTGTGTGTGTGTGTGTGTGTGTTAGGATTTTAAGTTTTAATTTTCTTTGAAAGGCCTTTTTTCTGAAAGGCAGACACACACATCAACAAACATGCACAGACAGACATCTTCTCCCTGGTGGTTCCTTCCCCAGATAATCACAACATGCAGTGCTGAACCAGGCTGAAGCCGAGAGTCCAGAAAGAAGTCTAGACCATGAATGTGGCTGGCAAAGAGCTACGGACTTGAGCCATCGTTGGCTGTCTCCCAGAGTGTGCATTAGCATAAACTGGAAGTGGAGCCCGGACTTGAACCTGGGAATGTAGGTGTCTTAACCACTGTAGCAAATCTTCATTCTGAATGTGTCCGTTTTAAATAAAAAATTATTAAATGGAATTTGAATTCCAGTTCCTCAAGCACACAAGTCACATTTAAAGAGTTCAGTGGTCACCTTAGGCTAGCGCTACCATATTAGCTACCAAAGATACAGGACATTTCCATCATCATAGAACATTGCTATGGGTGGAATGACTCAGAGTCCCCCAAACTGCACCTGTTATTTAACACTATATGAAACACTGTCTAAGAACAGATTCTGAGCTCTAGAATTAGTTCCAAGTGGCCCAGTAAAGATGAAGAAAACTGCTTAGAGGTCTAAATTTATTCTTTTTATGGAAATTTGCCGAATTGTGATGATTGCACTAATTTCCTCCTCCTGTAAACATTTTTGTCATTCAGTCTACATATCAAGTTGTAGAATTTTTGCTGTAGGCATTTACATTATCAGATTGTTTTATAAAGTATTTTTTCCCCTTAGAAGACATTCTGTGGAATATTTTGCTTGCATTTTTCAAAATGTCTAATACAGTGTTGAGTACATAGTAAACACAAGATATCAACAGGTTAATTGAACTCTATAGCACTGATATATTTAATTGACAGTTCTTTGAAAAATCATGGTGCCGTCTCTCCAGTATTGGACATGGAGATGATAATGGAAAGAGTATCTCTATAATATATACTTCAATTTCATTTGGTGAAAATAAATCTGGGATTTCTGGTCATGTTTCCAATAAAAGAATATTCAAGTAACATCTGCAGCGTTTTTGAATTGACCGTTTTAAAAGAAAAGTGGTCTTACTCTTTGACTCTTTTGTGGAACATGAACTAGATAAACCTCTGGAGTCACAGCTGTTAACTTCCTGATGCAGACAAACTCCTCACAGGAACTGGAGTTCATCTCCCTGTGGACTAACTAGAGAACCCCAGGTTGCTGTTCTGGCCACTGTGTTTTGATGATTTCATAATGGCCTGAGAATTGCTGGGGCAGGCACTTCTGACCTTGGCATATTAGAGAATAGTGAGTTCTGTATCTTCACAGGTTAAAGCAGGGTGAATGATCAAGTTGACAGTAACATTGTAGCTGTGAGGAATGTTTCTTTTGTGCACAGTCCCACAGATTGTCATTTCAAGGTTGAATTTGAATTATTTGCAATAGCAAATAATTGCTTCCCTAGGCGGCACCCATCTTTTAATACAAAATCAACCTAGTCTGTTACTTAAGAAATAAAACTTCTAGTGAACAAATTATTTGCCTCTAAGATGCTTTACATGAAATTGGATTCTGTAGCAGTCACATTTCTGAGATACTGGATCAATCCACATAGATCAGGCCTGCTACATAATGGATCCCCTAGAAGTGTTCTTTCTTCTCATCAGACTTGTTGAGTTGAATGACAATTCTCAGACTTTATTAGAGAGTAAAAATTTATTTTAAATGTTTTGCCTTCCAATTGAAACAATGTTATTAAGTTTTTTCCTGGGAAAACTAGACCAAATGAAAAGTATCTTTTCTCCCTTTGTTTATATAAGTGGACAACCAAAAAAGTATCCATATGTGATACTTTCTGAGCATTCTTGATTAAAAGTTACACAGGAATTGTTTGATGTTGATTGGTATTGGATAGATCTGCATTTAAAATAGGTCTGGATGGTCTACTGATGGTCTGCTGTGGTCTGGAACTGTAGTGTCTGGCTTACGGTATTTCAGATATTCTAAATGTTTGAGCTCTTATGCCATAGTAAAGACCCTGGAACTGATGGTATGCCTTATCTCAATTTCTGCCTCCAGAGCAGGAACTGGGATAAAACGATGTAATACGTGGGACACTTGTATATCTGGAATTTCAGAGAGTGTATTTATGCCAGAATATCTGTGTATGTAGAAAACTCAGTTTTTTATTTTTGCAAAAGGTCATAAATGTGTTCAAAACACTAACGTTTCTCTGCTAATTCTTTTCTTGCCATTTAATAATTTAATGTAGAGCAAGAATTAGTACTGACTCAACAAATTAGTAAAAATTAAATCTATACAACCTCACACTGTACACATATCATTTATAATCTTTATAATCCTCACAATCCTATGAAGTTTTGTAGCTAAGAAGACTAAAACTAAGAAAGATTTAAGTAAATTTCATAAGAACACTTCAGTAAGTCAGAATTCAAACTTAAGCCTGGAAGATTTCTAAGCCCTTGCTCTTTCCTGTGTCACATTCTTGTGTATATTTCTTTGACTCAAGTAGATTATAAGATTTGGATGTCAGGAACTGTGTGTTAAAGTGTTTTATTCTGAGGCAGGTGTTTGATGCAGTGTTTCACATGACACTCGGATGCCTACAATCTATATTCAGAAGTGCCTGGGTTTGAGTCCCAGGTCTATTTACCATTCTGCCTTGCAGGGTGCATGCATAGTAGTAGGAATGCAGAATGGTAAACAGATTGTAGGAATCTGAAGTGTCATCAAGGGCCTGGGTCGCTGTCACCCTCAGGGACACCCAGATTGAATTCCCAGCTCCTGGTTTCATCCTGACTCAGACTTGCTGGAATTTTGGAAGGAACCCAAGGATGGAAGCTTTCTCTTGTCAGTCTCTGCACTTTTTCACTAAAATGAAAATAAATAAAAATTTGAAAGTATTTTGTATTCAGCTGATCCAGAGCAGTGATGTGTCAAGTGTTGCTGCTCTTGTGGAAGGTGGTATGGACAGGTTCTGAGAGATAGGTGCACACTTTGTAAATTTTGAACAGTGGTCTTAAGATTGTAGTAACTTCATGATGAAGCAGAAGATGAAGCATAGGTTTGGATGACTTTTCCCTTTCTCATCTTGCCCCCAGTTCAAAGTGTTTACATCTCTGAATAGCCAACACTCTGTTAAGTCTGCAGTTGTATTTCATGCTCTCAAGCATTGGCACAATTTTCTTTGTAGTTTTATTGCCTCCACTCACCCCCCATTTTTGTTTTTCCTGAAGAATCAGCTTATTCTATCATAGCCAGTCTACTTTCTGTCATTTGCTGATTTCCATGGTATGCTGAGAAATCCTGGCCTGTCTTCTTCAGTATCACTTTGTGGGGTGAGTGCTTGCCACAATTCTTACAGAAGTTCCAACTTGTTTCAGGTCATCATGTTTGCCAGATCAGCATGGGAAGCAACATACTAACTCTTCTTGACCTTCTAAAGGGCTGTTTAGTGCCATGTTTTTAGAAAATAATATTCCTGGGCCCAGGACAATGGCTCAGTGGCTAAATCCTCACCTTGCATGCACCAGGATCCCATATGGGTGCCAGTCCCTGTCCTGGCTGCCCCACTTCCCTTCCAGATTCCTGCTTATGACCTGGGAAAGCAGTAGAGGAGGACCCAAGGCCTTAAGACCCTGCATCTTCCTGGGAGACCTGGAAGAAGCTCCTGGCTCCTGGCTTTGGATCGGCCCAGCTTCCGCCATTGCAACCACATGGGGAGTGAACCAGCAGACAGAAAATCTCCCTCTCTGTAAATCTGTCTTTCTAATATAATTAAATAGATCTTTCAATTAAAAAAAGGAAAATAATGTTACTTTGTACCCCCAGACCATGATATGGTTGTTTAGAAATGGTACCATTGTTGTCAGGTCTTGAGTTTAATCACTGGACCTATATGAAAGCCCGAAGACTGCAAGAGTTTTTTTGTCTCATTTGCTCACTCTTCTGTCTGCAGTACCCAGGACAAACATGTAGTTGCACCTCAATAAATATTTGTTAATGGCTAAATAAATTCTATGGAAACCTGTTGCCTTTCTTCTATGGCTGAATATTCTATTTTTAACCTGGTCGAATTTCTTTCGTATCTAAGCCACTGACTACAGGGGAGCTGGGGAATAGAAAGGTAGATGGAACAACATACACTTATCACTTCTACTGCAAATACCAGCCAGGCCCATGCCTTCCAGAAGCTAGGTCAATAGCGTTATCTTTTGAATAAAGGATGATAATGAGAAAAAACTAAATCCAGAAACAGTTCTGTGGCAGAGGTGAGGGGAAATGCATTTCATTCTCTCTTCTTTTTGAATTTTTCAAAAGGATGATGTCTTTGAACATCCTTCATATGTGTTTGGTTTATCATCAGATTTATTTATTTACAAGTAAGGTGTAGTTATATAACTCAGGCAGTTTGCTAATAAATATACCAAACAACCACCAAAAATTGAAGCCATACATTTCCACTTTAATATTACAAAATCTAGAAAAATAAAAGTTTTGCAAATGTGATTAATTGCATGTACCATATGAGTGTCACAGTTTATATTGCATATTGGGTTTTAAATTGATAAGCATTCCAAGATCAAAACAATGTAGGTTTATTTTAGATATTCTTGCTTGGCAGATTACCAGGCGTCTGTATGGTGTTTACCTTGGGAAGCTAAAGTTCACATGTTGCAAACACATGCCAAAATTCTCTTAGATTAAGGTTTGTATTTAACCAGTGCTGACTTTCTTTTCTTTATGGCTTTGAAGTAATAATTTGCAGTAGTGATTATGCTAACAAACTGTCTCTTGGTGTTCATTTGGATAAAAGTAATTCATCAAGTACATTTGCCCCTTCCTTAAAGTAATTTTTCTCTTCATGATTTTCCTACTGAGCAAGAAGTTTATACCCAGTGGGGATAATAGAATTCCCTACTGGGCAGGAAATTAACAATAAAAGTAGGTTAATAAGCCTTTATTAAGCACCTATAATTAGAATGGATGCTGTGGAAAGAGAAGAAATAGAGAGCTGCCTCTGCCCTTGGGGAAACCTACAATCTACTTAAAACACAGTAATGCGACTTGTGGTTTTGTAGGTTCGAATTGAATTTTACTGAAAACGTGTTCCTGAAACCAATACTACTGTAGTAAAAGATTTACATAACATAATATTGAAGGGGACTATATTCTGTTTCCTAATTCAATGCTATAAAAGAATCCAGTGCAACTAAGGTAATTTTAATGCCCATTTGCTTTTAAAAAAATCTAAATTATGTTTTAAACTTTAAAATTTAAAACAATATTAGTAAAAAAGTCATGATGGGGGCTTAAGTTTGTTAGTGATATTTCGTGGATATTAAGATATCTTTAACACCAAAACTGGCATTTTTGGGTGCTGATGTGAATTTGACCACCATTCAACTCATACCCTTTTTTTTTTTGTCTTTTGGAGCAGAAGCTAATTTTAGTCAGTATACACCTTTTGAGGTGTACTCTGTAGCAGTTGTAAGACATGGGGAATCATCAGAGAGAAAATAAATGAAAGCTGATTTTTACCTTCCAGATACATTTAAAGCACACTTAGCAATTACACAAGGTTACATACTTGACACCTGATTATTCTTTTGTTATCTATAGAAGTTATTGAGAAATAATACATATTTAAGGCATAAATATTGAGGCATTTTTTTTGTTATCACTCCTTATAAATTTTGATTTGGGGGAATTTTCCATCAGTTAAAATTATTTGCATTCTGATTTGGCCCTTAATAGGTTTTCTTATTTTATACAGTATTTTGTTTTGTTTTGTTTTTGTTTCTTTTTTTTATACAGTACTTTAAAATAATAAGATAGAGTCAGTGTTATATGTATCAGAAATATGTTACTTTTAACAAATTTTTACTTGAAAGAAATGAAATTTTCTGATATGTAGATGACCAAAGAAAGCAAGATACATGCTAAGGAAAGAAAAAAAATACTTACAGGATAATTAACTCAGTACTTCTACAGTAATATTTTAGTTTTAGGTTCTTAGTTCTTTATATTAGGACCTATTTGTAGAATTTACTAAATTCTAGTTCATTACAAGTATACATTTATTTATTACTGTTAGTATAAGTTTTATTTCTTCAGAAGCTGTTTTCTTAGGAAAAATGTGCATGTGAAATTGTTCTGAGTTGACTTTTGTTAGTAAAATTCTGTTGTGATTTTGCTCTTATACATACATTTCCCTTAAATCTTACATTAAGGTAAACTATTAGTATATAAATCCTATTAAAATGATTTGTCAAGTTGACTTTTTATTTGTAATAATAATTTTTTCCCTGAGAATTAGAGATTTAAATCTCTGAAAACATTAATGTGTGGGGGGTGGTTATGATAGTCCAGCTGCCTTTGTGTATGTTTCATTTAAATGTAAATTTATCTTAGAGACTCAAAAGATGAGCTCAGAAGGTAAAGAATTTTAATTTGAATAGTCATTTTCTTCTCTTTTTTTCATGAAAGCCAAAATCCCTATTTTGCCCTAAAGAGAAAGAAAACTTAATAGCCAAAACCCAACTTTCTTTTTTAAAGCTTCTTAATGTATTATAAATGTTGCTTTGCCAGCAGTTTTTCTACAGTGATATAATTCCATTAAATAAAACTGCTCTGTTCTGTAAAACCAGATAGCAATAATTTAGCAACCATCAGAATGATGCCAAATATTATTTTGCAGTTGTGTCAAAGACAGAAATCAGGTTGTAAAAAACATTTCAAATCATTATATATGATATCTTTTAAAAATTAATGGAGTTAGCTAAACAATGATACAAAACACGTATCTATGTTTTTTGTATGTATTTAGATGATTTTTTAACCACTAAATAAAATATAATCTGATCTTATAAATTAACTTCAGGAACAATTTTCGAGGACACTTTCTGAGGAAATTTCCGTTTTTTTGAAGTTTCAAGTCACTGTTCTCTGTAAGATAGAGAAGATCAAGATCTGAAACTCTGTAATTCTGCTGTATTTCATAGTCAGTTTGGCATTGTGTAAGCCACCATGATTGTCTTGTTAAGAAAGGGCAACCTTTGTTGTCTTTCGTAGCCTTTTCTACTTCTCTGCAATAAAACAGGCTGGTTTTGAGTTACTGGTTGATTATTTTGAAGTCATTTTTCTCTTAGTCATTGCATTACTACTAGCCTGTAATTGTCTTCTGTTAACAAAAAAGAAAAAACAAATAGACCAAAACTCTCTTTGATCTACTCTAACCTATCTATATGCAAATTTCAGAGAAGTAATATTGTACCAACCAATAAAATCTACTCCTACATTGACATTTCTGAAGTAATTATAAAAAGGATTATAAAGTTTACTAGTGGAATTGCTATTTGTTGATTGATCATATTTACTCAAGCTGCATAAATGTAAATATTTCCCCAAGTCATCCCTAGAGAGCCAAGGGTTCCCTTCAAAGGAAAAAACCTTTGTGCATTCTAAATATTTTTATTTTGTGCAATTAAGAAAAGTAAAAGAGCGCTTTTCAAACACTTTTGAGAAGTCTTGAAATTTAGTTTATGCTACTCTTTAATTTTTACACATTTTCGTTGAATACTTAAGAGTTTTAAGATGCAGTTCTGCTTTAACTAATAGTTGCTGTTTAGAATTTAAAACTGAGTGCTAGAGTAACCAGTAAGAATGTCAAATGGTATTTGTTGTAGCAATATCCTAATTTACAGATCTATAAAGTGAGGTGAGACACATAGGCTCCTATGTTAGGCTACCAACCTGGAGACCCAGTGATACCAACCTGTGGGAAATGATTGTGAGAAGTCAGTTTCTCTGGACATCATTTCTACTGTGCATGATGGTTTGGGAAACACAAGAAGTGAGAACAGGTTGAGCATATCTTCATTTTGCTTTGTAAAACTTCATGCCGTGCCTTAAGATCAGACAGTGAGTTTTCAGAAATATTTTCCTTTTAGCATCTGTTGTATGTATAGCAACTCCTGTTTAAGTGTTTATAAGGATATTCTGCCTTAAATTAAATGGGAGTATAAGTAATTGTAAAACGGTCTACTTCACATTCAGGGTTATTACCTAGTAACCAAAAATACTATCTGAATATATTTTTTGGAGTGCCAGGAAAGGCTGGGGGATGGGGAGGATGAAACTTGAATCAGTGACCATCTGGCCCAAATTTGGCTGATTTCCTGTGCACTGTCCTTTGTTTCTGCTAGACAATAGATTGCTCCCTTTAACAGATAAGAACTCTGTTGATGACTTTGTGCTGAATCAGCAGATTTGGTTTGGGATTGCCAGTATAGACTCATAACGAGAGATTTTCCTATTGTTCTGAGGTCAAAATCCTCACCTTTTATCCATCACAAAAGTATTCTTCAGGTGCTCTTCTGTACTTTCATAAATCAAAACTAATTGGGAGTATAGATTTGTAGCTTGCTGTTAACAGTTTTAATCACTGAAATTTTCATTGTTCTTAGTTTCCAAAGCTGTTTCTAACTGTGATTTTTGAGTTTTTTTTTTTTATTCGCATCTTCTTTTATGTGTGAACTTGAATTTTCATTTCAACCTCTAATGGTTTAAATTTAGTGTTGTCTCTAACCTGAATTTTTCAGTGTGGCTTTGTGAACTGTAAGTTTTCAGTGACATTTCTTGCCATATAGGTGTAAATTATCTTTTAGGATGTTGAAAGCTGTTTGCTTCGCAATTGTCATGACACCTTTAAAAATGGTTTTTAACAAGAAATAGGGGCCCGTGTTGCCTAGCATTCTGAGTCAGTCAGCCATCTGTTTTTGTAGGTTGTCTTAAAAGCATGAAAGGTTAGAGTGTGGTTAAATGCCACTTTTCAGATGAC